TAACAGGAATAATACCTGGGTAACGGGAAGCCAGAATAGCATCATGATTCTAAGATAAGCTAGTGTGTGAATGCCTGATTGCGCTCTCCCTTGTTTGCTGTGTGACCTTGGAATATGTCTTAATTTTTTTTGGACTTTGTTTTCTCATATGTAAAATGGGAAAAGAGTAGCAATCAGCTGGGGCTGTGAGGATTCAGGAGCTAGTGCTTGTAAAGCACTTGGGAGAGAATGCTATGACACCACACCCTCCGCAGATGGAGGTTGTCACTGTTGTTGGGGCGAGTGAGAGGCGGGTGTCAGGGACTGTCCAGGTTGGACCATGCACTGAAATGAGAACATTAGAAGCAAAGTGATTATGCGGAATTTGTTACATTTCAGGAGGCGTAGGTTCAGAGTGTGTTGTGACTGGTGGAAAATTCTCGTTCGCATGTTAGAGAGGAAGAGGGTTCAGAGCAGCCTGAGCATCTCTGTGTATGTATCTTAACATGTACCCACTCATGCCGAAAAGAGAGGATCCATCTTGGAGATATCTTCAAGGAGATGACAATATATTGCATTGTATAATGAGCCAAGTTTAATTTTTCTTAGTCTGGAGCAAACGAATTTAAGCATTTTAATTATGGGGTTTGGGAAATATCTAGTTTCCTGCCATATTTGAACTAGTTCAGATTTTTATGCTTATATTTTATCAGTTCCATATTGGATGTGGCATGCCCTAAGCTGCCCGCTGTTCAAATGGCAGGCATGCAGGAGGTCCAGTGGTGATAAAATGCAATGGTGCCATTTGCTTGAATTCTTGTTAAAATAGAAAATAAAGTGAGGAGCAATTATAAGGCACTCAGAGCCAGTGTATACATTCATTTATTCATCGTTAGGTCATTCACGCATCAAGTACATGTGTTCTGATTATGTGTCTTAGGTGTTCAGTACAGTGCACACTGTTGGTCATAGAGTGGTGAGCAGAAACCAGACATGGGGAGTAACTGGGCTGTCTTGCCTTTGCACTTAGCAAGGAGAATAAAGCCAGTTCCAGCAGACTTGCAAGATTTCCCTGAATGACATTTTCAGGTTTATACTCCTAACAGAAAAGAGGCAATGAACAAACTAAACAGTGACATTAAAAAAAAGAGGCCTTCTAAAGAGCAGATGTTACTCACCTGCCACAGCCACTGGGGCTTTTTGACCTTCACTTTGGTTTTATTTACTACTGCTTTAATTATTTATCTGGCATGGAGGTGCTGAGGCTGCATAGCTAAAAGAGGCTGTCGTTGTCCCCAGAATCTTGCTGTTTGGGGGCAGGAAGGCACTGACAGGCCGGATTTAACAAGCACTCTAGTTTGTTGAACAGTTAGGTACACCACGGGAGTCCTTTGGGGCAGGGCTGTGTCTCTCTCGTCCGCTGCCGTGTGTCCCAGGGCCTGGTGTGGTGCGTGGCATTCTGATCAGTCACTCCACAGATACCCCTGTCACGTGAAGGAGTGCTGAGGGGGTACAGGAGAGAGGTGTTTCACCTGGGGGAAGGGCTTGGCTCCCACCGCACGTGCGTCCAGCTTAGCCTGGGGAGGAAGGTCCAGGTGGAGGAGGTGTGAGGGAGGGCACAGATTGTTCTGTAAACTGAAAATGGCTTAATTTTGCTGCTTTGTGGGATTCACGGGAGATAGCGTGAGAGACAGACTGGGTTTGATCATTCAGGGCCTGACAGGTCATATCAAGGAGTTGGGATTTTCTTTTCTTCAAAAGTAGTAATTCTAAAGTACTAGAAACCCCGTGTCCTGATACTCAGGCCGGCACTCTTTTTGTATTACACGATGCATGTAATGTCAAGAAAGTATCATCAGGTCTTGGGGTTCCATATCTGTTAGTGATAGCTGGACTGTTAAAGTTCTGTAAGTCCCTGGTGGACTTTTCATCCTTGGGAGAATGAGGATATAGGATAAATATTTGTTTTCTTGGGCGTGAAAAAAAGTTGAAACTCTTTAAAGGCAAGCAAGGTCAACATGTCTTTGAATTCTAGTTCTCTAGAAGGATAGCAGGTATGTGTAGTAGATACTCAATACCTGAATAAATGCAAAAAACAAACAGAAACCCTTTGCTTTTGTGTATACTGTTGTCGCGGGCACTGTACTGGATTCTGAAAGGTGGTAACTGGATGAGAAATGATCCTCTCCAAAAGGTCTTTCCAGCCGAGTGAGGGAGAGAGAGAAATGATAGTACAGTGGGTGAGTCCTGTGATAGAGATGTGCACAGGGCAATATGACGGGTAGTCCTCTTTCTTTCTTCAAGCCCCCACATTCTTAACCTTTTTTATACCTATTGTTTATTTTCCCCATACCTTTCAATAGCCTCTTAGTAATTTTTCTGTATAGTCATATAGACTCATCTCTTCTTCACATTTTATTCCTGGCAGACAATTTCCTGGAGATCTCTGTTCTCTTCTTTCCTGAGCTGCCTGCTCCTGAAATTTGTTGTCCCTGGATGTTCCTCTGTTCTCATCCTTTGGCTTTTGTCCGGAGTTGGATTTTATGTTTGTGGCAACTTTTGTCTTTGTCTTTCTTCACTGACTTCTTCATTTTGGTGGAGTTAATTACTTTTTTTTAAAAGATTTTATTTATTTGATAGAGATAGAGAGGGAACACAGGCATGGGGGAGCTGGAGAGGGAGAAGCAGGCTCCCCGCTGAGCAGGGAGCCCAATGCGGGGCTCGATCCCAGGACCCTGGTATCATGACCTGAGCTGAAGGCAGACGCTTAATGACTGAGCCACCCAGGCGCCCCAGAGTTAAGTACTTTAAAAAGACGGTACAGCGTCTTTGGACAAGGTGAAGACAGCCTTCGGCATTCCCTCCTCTTGAGCAATGCTACTCCAACATGGACTTGTTTCCCTCTCTCCTGGTGTACAGACACCATTCTGGAATCTCCCTTCATCCTCATCCTGGGGATTCCCTTATCCCTTCTTCATGGAAGCTCATGCCTTGCTCATATTTTGTTGATGTTCATGTTTTGGTGGAGGACTTTCTCCAGTGGCTTTCTGACATAGGATGCTTAGGAGGCAAACCTTTTGGGACCATGTGTGAATCAAACTTGATTGATAGTTTGGGTATAGAGTTCTGTATTGGCATTCATTTTGGTTCATAAATTCAAAGATTGCTCCATTGCCTTCTTGTTTTCATGTTACTGTTTTAGAATTCAGAAGCTATTCTGATTTATCTTTTGTATGTAACTTTTTTTCCCTCCCATCTTTAGAAGCTTGTAGGAGTTTTAAAATTTGTCCAAGTCTTTTGAAATGTCATGATGGTATACTTTGTGTGGGTCGGTTTTCATCTACTGTGCTGCATATTCATTGGGTCCCTTCATCTGGCAACTGGTACTTTTCAGTTCTGGGAATACTTTTTGGTGTTACTGTGCTGAGGTTTTCTCCCTTTCGTTTCCTTATTTTGTTTTTCTGGAAGTCTTTATAATCCAGAACTTGCCTGTCCTGGGCGAAGATTGTAATCATCTTAATACTTCTTTCTTCCTCCTTCCTTTGCTCCTCCTCCTCTGCCTTTTTTCTTTCTTTCTTTGGTCTTTTTATTATCTGTTCAGGGAGATGACTTCAATTTGACTTAACCTTCTTCTTTAGTTTATTATTTCTGATTTCAGAAAGGTTCTTTAGATTTCCAAGGGCTCTTTTTCTGTTCTTCGAGAAGAACATCCTCTTTTTGTTTATTGATCACAGTGTTGTCTTACCTCTATATTATTGATAGTTTGTATAGTCTCTGTTTCTTTCAGGTTTTTTCCTTCCTTCTCCTGTCTGACGTGGTGGGGCCCTTTGACTTTTACATCAGAATATTCTGGGGGGCCATGTGTTAGGGGGTCCTCAGTGTTAGTATCTTTAGGTCTGTCTTCTGGGGCTGATCAGATTCCCCAGAAATATTCGCCTCTTTCCTGTAGAATTCTGACTTCAGAATCTGGGAGCCAAGGGTGTGCGTGTGTGGTCTGTTGTAGGGGAGCTGGAGAATTCACCATTCACTGTATATACAGTCATTAAATCTAGCTCTGTTCTGTGCAGCTGGGCAGGGTGACTTTAGTCCATAGATGTCTCTGCTTTTTCCAGGGAATGACCCCCGAATCTTCTGTCAGAGTGAGGGGGAGTCACATTGTGCCTGGTGTTGAGGTTCTAGTTTCAGCTTCCATGGCCTTGCCCAGCTCCTCTGTATTTGAGGCTGCGCCTTCTTTACCCCCGTTCTGTCTGCGCTGGTCTTCCAGGACACTGCTGTGCAAGGGGAATTGGTTCTCAGCGTGTCCCACTGCTGAATCAGGATCTGGCTCTCTTGTGCCTGCTGACTCATTTACTGTACTTCCATCTTTTATATTGTTTGGGTCTCCATCTTCCATGTTAGAAGATTTTCTCAGAGCTTCCAAAATCTTGGCCTTTTTCTCCTTTCAGTTCTCCCTGTGCTGTTTCAGACATTTTTAAAAATATTTATTTGAGAGAGAGAGAGTGCGTGCACGCGTGAAAGAGAGCAGAGAGCACAAACGGGGAGGGGCAGAGGGAGAGGAGAGGGAGAAGCAGACTCCCCGCTGAGCAGGGACCCCCCCCCCCGCCCCCGACGCAGGGCTCGATCCCAGGACCCCGGGATTACGACCTGAGCCAAAGGCAAATGCTTAACTGACTGAGCCACCCAGCCACCCCTGTTTAAAACATTTTTAAAAAATATCTCTTCAGTATAATTTTAATGGGAGGCAGTGGAATAGATGCCTATGCTCTGTCATTGTACCGTGCACTTATTATCCAACTATGCCCTAGTTTACAATTTTTGATATGTTTTAATGGTTTTCAATTGCTTCACTTGTATTTTTTAAGCAGAAAGTAGGTTTGAAGACAGGGATGTGGTGCCCTGTTTTTACCCCTCATCCCAGGTGTTGCCCGGTGGGCATGCATGGGAGGTGATGGAAGTGGCTGAGGTGGTGAGTTCCGTAGAACTTCAGGGTCTTATATGCGCGTGTTGTTTCTCCTTGTCAGGTTCTCGGAGGACTATGGAAAGAGGAAAGAGAAGCTAGGAGCATTTCCTTTAAACTGATGTTTGATTTCTTCACAGAGTTATCGTGGCCTTCGGAACTGTGAGTATAATTCTCTTGCTACATTTGTGTCTTGGCTTTTTGTTTTGTTTTGATTTTTCTTTCATCTGTCTTAGGGTTTCTTTGACATACAGTAGAAACAAAGCACAGTAGGTGAGGGAAGAACTATTAGTTGTTTAGTGCCTTTTACGTGTGCTTTGAGGCAGGCGGGTAACAGTAACGTCCGGGATAGTGGTGACGGAGCAGCGTGTGCTCTAGAAGAGTGCCCGAGCACCGCAGACACTGGGAGTTCCAGCCGCTCAGGGAGTCTTCCCGGTAACCCCATGAATGAGGCTACCCTTTGCCCTGTTTCACATTTGCAAAACTGAAACAGGTTAAAGGTTACGAAGTTAGCAAAGGGCAAAGCTGGGATTCAGACTCAGTCTGGCTTTGGAGCCCGTGCGTTTTACTTGTGTCTTTTCCTTATGGGCTCTGGATTCAGACGTTGGCTTGGCTACTTACTTACTAACTCTTCACTAACTCCCGAAACCTAGCTTTCTCTCCATTCTAACTCTTTACTGACTACCTAAACCTAGCTCTCTCCTCCGACCAAGGGTGCTGTTGACAGGACCGCTTTCCCAGGGCTGCGGTGAAAATGCCGTAACAAATGCGAAATGTACGCAGCATTCACAAATGTTAGCCATTAATACTCGGTGGCATTTTCCCTACTTTAATGAGAGGAAAACTGAGCCCCAGAGATTGGGTTATTTGTGATTTGTTAATTTGTTACCTTGGCACTTGTGCTGCCCTCAACAGTTGGGAGGTTGTAGAATTGAGATTCTATCCCAGTTTGTCTTGTTTCCAAAGACTGCTCTTTCTGGTAGACCTAGTGGCAAAGCGAGGACAGGTAGTTGATAGACGATTCATAAATCTCTCTTGGGGTATTAGCATTGGTAAACATTTTATTTTACCCATACGTTGCTTTGGTAAAAGCCTCATGAACTTAGACTTCATGGATTCAGAATTCAGGATCATTTATAATTATGTTGAATTTGACTTTGGCAAATGTCTTTGTGTTAGATTTCCAAGGGGCAGGGCCCTGGATTGCTTTTCCATTTCCTTCTGGGGGTCAGTTCACTTTCCTCTTTTGTTCTCCTTTCTCCCCCAAACCCACTTTTGTTTCTGCCAGGATTAGGTATTAGGGAAGGGAAATTATGTCATGCAGTTTCAATTTCCAAGTAAGGCCTGGAAGTTGTGCTCCTTTTCTCTAATTCCTTCTACCCTTGGCTGCGAGAGGCACCTGCTCTGTGTGTGTGCTCTGCCAGGTGTGACTATGCTGTCTTTTGGAGAAGGCCACGCCCAGCTGTTTACACCCCTGTCTCCCCCGCCCCGCCCCGCACATTCCATGTTTCTTCCTGTAGCAGTGTGCTATATTTATTGGGTACAAGTCTGTTTCTGCATCTTCAAGGGCAAAGACTTTATTTCATCTCTGCATGTTTTCTGCTTGGCCCATAGGTAGTTTTCACTAAATGCTGGATGAAGGAATATTTAATGTTTGCCACAAAATAAGTTCTTTTTTCTTAGTGGATCCAAACAAGAGGGAGAATATCAAGTATAACTTTTCAGCAGCATTAGCTATTAAAAATAGTTCATGTTGGTAGAGCACAAGACCGTTTCATATTTAGCAGAAATTACATAGAAATTTTTCTTCTTAATGTGGTGTGCAGTGGAATGAAGGCCTTACAGGGAACTGAGAGCCCGTTCATGGCTCACTGGAACTTTGAGCACTGGGATATAATCTGCTGCTTCTAGTTTGGCACTCCCCTCCCCTCCACCCCTGTTTGAAAATATGTAAACCCAGGAAAATAACCTTATAACCAGTGTTTCTGTAACTGTTTCCCCCCAATTCTGGACAAATGGTGAGGCCACATGAGTCAGCCTGGCTTTGTACAGCATCAGCTTAATGATCTGCTGAGATCTGGGTCCCTTGATATACCTGAGTGCCCTGGTCCCCTTGAGCCCCTGTAGGATGGATCAGGTTCTTGGTTCTTGATTTGTTTTGGGGTGTTGCATTATAAGGCAGAAACTTGGGATGGAGGTGTTTTACAACCAGAATTCTAGGAAAGCAAAGAAAAGTTTTGGAGGAGTTGAATTGCTGGAATACGTATGGAGATTATTTTCAGGGAATGGGGTGTGGGGAGGCAGTAGATAGAAAGGAAGGTTGCCTGGAGACCCGTCTGAAAACCCCCATTTTGTGAATAAAGATGGCTTTTTTAGCATCAGGGCAGCTGAGAACAATTGACATAGATTGAACTCTGAGGGTCTGGAGCTGTTTATCGAAACAAAGAGTCACTAGGGTCAGGCGTGCTGGCTGTCGGCTGCGGGGGCAGCTGTCCCTCGGTGTTCAGCCCCGAGATGCGACTGAGCTTTGGAAAGCTGGCGTGTGGGGAATAGACACCGGCGGTGGGGGAAGGTAGAGGACAACCAAGAGACCTGTCGGCAGGCCATTGAGGGAGCCAGGTGCAGCAGTGGAGGCTTGGACTGGAGCAGGAAAACTGGAGGTGGTGAGAAGCAGTTGGGCCCTGGATGTATTTCAAAGGTAGAATCAGTAGGGTTTGCTGACAGATTGGATAAGGGGTGTGAGGACAGAGGGAGGAGTTGAGTTGACTAGAAGGCTCTTGGCCTGGGCAACTAGATGGGGGGAAGGCTGTGGGTGGAACTTGGTGTAGAGGGGCAGATGGGGAGCTCACTCATAGGCATTTTAAGTTTGCGATTCTGTTAGAGATCCAAGTAGAGATGTCATGTAGGCAGTTGTAAATAGGCATTCGGAGCTTGGAAGAGAAGTCTGAGCTGGAAGTGGCAATGAAAACGCAGTGACACTCTGTGATCACTGAGGGAGTGAGCACAGAGAAGACAAGCCAGCCCGAGCCTTGGGCCACTCTGCCATCGAGTGCTCAAGGACGAACGTGAGCAGTGGTTGGCACAGAGCAGGTGTGAGGAGGACCAGAAGCACTGGCACCATGGGAAGAAGGGAAGAAAGTTCCAGGAGGAGGATGGGATCAACTCTGTGAAGCGTCAGGAAAGGTCATGATGAGGATTGAGGTTTGGCGACTTGGAGGGCGCTCTGGCAGCGTTCAGAGCAGTGTGGGGGCGTGGTCAGAATGAAAGCCGGCCTGGCCCGTGGTGTGAAGGGGGAGAGAGTAGTGAGACGGATTGTGTCCAGGTGCCTTAGATCCAGGGTATGTACAGTCATCCTCACACTTAACTCACCATCTGGGTGCTGAGCAGCCCAACCCAGCCGGGTCCCTGAGGTCCGTGGGGGTGTTTTCATGTTGCAGGTGGGGAAAGCTCAGGGTCAGAGCTCACAGTAGCTTTCTCAAGAGTACGGAGCTGGTGGGCGGTGATGCCAGGCCGCAGACCACGCATGCTGTCCTCAGCTGCCTGCCTCCTGAGGGTTTCGAGAGAGACTATTGAAGGGGGAAAGGGAGTAGTGTGGTTGAAAAGTTGGAGGAAAACACTTATGTCCTGCTTGAAATGCTTCTATTAGAGGTTCTGTTTCTTTTTCTTACTTGCAAATTTCACTTCTATCAGAGGTGGTAGGAGCATGTGTTCAAAAGTAAAATAATGTTGAAAGGTACAGCGGGCTCCTGTCCTGCCCTCCACCCACCATCTGCCTCCCAGAGGTGCCTGTAGTCCTGGTTAGCTGTTTCTATTAGCATTTATGTCCACGGTTCCCAGCAATATCTGTGTAGAGGCAGGGTCATCGATGGGTCAGTTTTAGAAAAAGTTACATTTTGAACTCCCATTTTCCGCACATAGTTGTATCACAATTTTTGTTTAGATCCATAATTTGGTTAATCGTTTTGACTTTGTTAATGTTGCTCACCTTTGAGCCGGTTAATGTAGCATGATTATATTTCCTTTTTGTTCAACTTTTTGTTTCCCTGTTTTCTTGAGCTTAACAGTTGCGACTTTTTTTTTTTTTTCTGTTTACTTGATATTCTTAAGAGTTCTCACTCTCTCTGATAGCTCTGTAAGTAAGGTCTCTTAATAAAATTTTCCATGTGCTCAAGCATATTACTTTTGTCTTCACCCCCAGGGACATCTGTTTTCTTGCATGCTGGACAGGTTGCTCTCCTGGCCTGCTAGAAATGGTACCAGGGTTGAGGTGTGCAGGGCAGATCCTGCCGGAACGGGTGAGACCAGGTGGAGAATGCTGATGGGGAAGACAGTGATGGGAGGCTCAGAGGGAGGGGGGCAGAGTCCTCCTGAGGGAGCAAGTCTGGGAAGGGTGAGCGGAGTTCATGGTAGTTGGGGAAAGGCATTCCAGGTGGAGAAAGTGAGAATAAGCAGAGCTGGACAAGATTGGTTACTTTTTGTTAACCTACAAAGCCTCTGTCGTGGTGCCTTGTTAGGTGGTATATATTAACTTAGTTACAGACTCTTCCTTAAAGAGATTTAAATAGGTTTACATGGAAAATATGACATTCAGATGGTTAAACATCTGTCATAAATTTCTTATTTTTTGAAAGATTTTATTTTTTAAGTAATCTCTACACCCAACGTGGGGCTCAAACAACCCCAAGATCAAGAGTCGTACGCTCTACTGACTGAGCCAGCCAGGTGCCCCGGTCATAAATTTTTAGTATATGTGCTGCCGAAGCGAGCACACCCCTGTCATAAATTTTTAATGTTTTCTTAAAACCTGAGCATAGGGTATATCAAGACACTTAAATCCAAGAGATAATCTTAAACTGTTGATTTCATGTATTGGCTCATGGAAAAATCTTTATGGAATATCTGTCACAGAGGCGGCCTGGCCCGGCCAGTCATCATGCAGGAGCGGGCACTGTAGCCCCCAGTGAGCGACCACAGGACATTTCAGAGGCTGCTCTGTGTCCAGCTGGATGCACAGGATGCTGTGCAGGGAGGCTGGGGGTGTCATGGAGGCGGGCAGGTGCAGCCCTGGTCTCTGGCCCAGTTAGGGAGGCCCATCAGGAACGAGATGGTGCAGAACCAAGAGTGAGTGGATTGGCTTCTTTTGAAAAGAAGCATCGCTCAGT